CCCTGTTAGGCCACCCCCACAACCCATGTTTAAAAAAAAAAAAAAATCTAAAATGAGTCAAATAATTTGCCCAATCTTATATAACAAACCTTTCCCAAAATGTGCCATGACTCAAGTTCTGGTCCTCGTCAGAGGGCGGGGGTTCAAATCCCACTTCTGACATTTATGTTATAAATATTTTTTCAATAGTAGTGTTGCTGATGCATAGGTTTTTTCAATATTTCAATATGACAAAATAAAAAATAAAACATTCTTGTTCCAAAAAGCATAGATTTTCAAAATATCATGTGTGGACTTGGGATGGGAAGAGTATGCCCATTTTCAGAAGATGTGCCTCTTTCTTGGTTGATTTAGTCCGTCAAATGGATTTTGTATTGATTAACAGATCAACTTGGCTCCCATGCACATCAAAATGGTGTTATTTTCTTAAATATACCTAGACATATGAGTAACATAAAAAATGGCCTTTTTTAAAACTATTTTATGAATTATTTTTATATTTAAACTTTACATAGGGAGGGGACTGTAAAATACTGTCATTTTTAAAGATTGTGATTGTATAAAGATATCAAAGTATGTGGGATTCTCAACCAATTGAATTGGGGATGCGTGGATGAATGATAGCCTTATTGTTTATTTATGTGGAGAAAGATATATTCTTAAAAATTGATAACGAGGCGATTGTACAAAGATATCAAAGTATGAAAACTTGTAAAGAACAATTATAAGGTATTTCATTTTTAGTACAGTGCTTGTGTTATAATATTGTTATTTTTATACATTTATTAATATCGTCCGTACTGGAAAAACTTAGTAAGTCCGCCCTTGGCCTTATCATTTCATGGACATATCGAGTGTTGACACCTAGCAATGGCATGCATTTACCGCATTCTGTGGAACCTTTTGACAATTTGCATGGGAAGAGTGTACACGTGGCTTGACGCAAGCCTTGTGTTTGTGTCGGAGTGTCACATCATGTAGTCGTGAATCTTTTTTGTTTTCATTATGTAGTCGTCTTAAATCTTTGGAATAAAAGAAATAAAAATGAGCTACCAGGTTCGAGACGAAAGTTTGGATCGAGTCTAAATTTTTTGGTCGAGTAAAAGCTCGGCTCGACTCGGGTAAAATCCCAAATTTCGAGTTTCGGTTTATGACTCGACTCGTTGACATCCTTAGATTGAGTGAATACGTAAGGAATTTTTCTACTTATACATCAAAATGATACATAAGCGATTATCAAAAATGATGTGAAGCGAAAAAAAATTGAATGAAAAAAGTGATTGTATTTTAAACTAATAAATGATAAAGTGTTATGTGATATTATGTAATCTCTTGTGTAAATTTTAATTTACAAGTAGCAATATCCATAATTAATTAATAAGTAAAAAGTAAGAATTGCAAAAGAACTTGCAGGACTGAGTCGTAATAAAATAAGAAATTGGGGAGTCGTTAAGGTAGGTGACAGTTACGAGTTACAAGGTACGGTTTAAGGTTTGAAAAAGCAGTCAAATCTCCGTGTATGTCCTCGTTCGTTAAGGTAGGTGACAGTTACGAGTTACAAGGTACGGTGTAAGGTTTGAAAAAGCAGGCAAAGCTCCGTGTATGTCCTCGATTTCCATAAACTACCAAACATTGTCCTTTCCTATCTGCCCGCTCACTCCCCATGCTATGTTCACAGGTGGATAAAGTAATTGACAGCCTTACCCCTGCCTTTAATTTAATTACTTGATATAAAATATAATATTAATCATGTTAATTTCCACTAAACTCTTTTAGGCCCAGTTTTATTTAACTCGAAGTTAAATTAAATTTTAAGTTAAAGTTAATAATTAATTTTAATCATATATTTAATGGAATCTATAACTTTTCAACCATATTTCATAATTTTTATCAAATTTTACTAAAAATCTTATTTTTATCTAAATCAAACAGGGACTTATTTTAGTTTTATAACAACAAATTGTGTTAATTTTGGTCTCAATTAGTCAATTTGTCTCTCATTGTTTCAAAAAAAATTTCTACGTACTAATTTTCAATCATACATTCATACAATAAAATATTTTATACATAAATCCAAAACTTTTCTATACTTTTCAACTGTACATTCTACAAAAATTCACTATTCAAAATATTTTTTTTTAAAAAAAATAATAAAAATAGCCACCAAACAAGGGCTTTGTATGAATCTCAATCTTTTAGGGTTCGTTTGATTGTAAAAATTGAATTTGGATAGAAAGAAAATGAATTTGGGAAATTGAATTGCCTATAATTTGTTTTACTGGGAATTGTCAATTAATTGTATTTGATTGGTATAATTTTTCACCTGAAAATATTGAAATTTTGGATCTTTTGGTGTTCATTGGCTTTATTTTTCATGAAAATTGTCCATTAAAGGGATAAATATTGTTACAATTGGAGATGAAATTTGTTTCAATTGTAAAAAAAACTGTTTAGAAAAGCTTTTCCCACCAAATCCATAGAAAATCAAGAAAATGTAGAAAATCAATTCCATGAAAAATTTAGACAATCAAACATGTAAAAATGTGAAATGGAATTTATAATTTCCATTTTTCATGAAAAAAAAGAGTAATCAAACGGGGCCTTAGTTCATCTTGCCCTGTTTGATTCTTTTTTTTTTTTTAACTCATTTTTTTTAAATTCATTTTCAATCACACATTTTTCAATAAAATAATTTTACACGTGAATCGAATTTTTTCTTTTTTTAACTACACGTTCTTCAATAAAAATATTATTTCAAATTACATTTCAAGTGCGACTCGCATGATAACCTCATCGATTATGCCTTTGAGCAGCAGAATAAACGTCAACATCTCTTGGCTCTCTATTTTGAAGGGTTAATTTTGATTAGTTTGACCAAAGATAACAGTTAAATCAAAAAATGAACAGAGGAAAACAAAGTTCTGAGATTTAAAAAACTAGAGTGGCATATTTTTTAATATATGATGGAATTTAATTAACTGCAATAAGCGCATTAATTATAATTAATTAGAGAGGCCGGCATCATCTCGCATTCATCATTAAAATAAAGCAAACAGGGCCTGAATTATTGAGTGGCCCAGTTTGTTATTTTTAATAATGCAGTTTCAGAGTTAACTAATGGAGTCCAATTTAAATTATACCGAGGCACTGTTTGATTGTCACATTTTTCACGAAAAATGTCACATTCGAGAAAAAACGAATTTCAATTTGACCGTTTGATTGTAATGTGGAAATGGAAATCGAATTTCAAAATACAACCACTTTAAACTACATTTTCTTTGTTTTCATGAAAAACGAATTCATATGGGTTTGGTGGGTTTTTCTTATCTAACAAACATGGAATTAGAATTCATTTCCACATTTACCTATCAAACTGACCTTAGATTGTCGATATTTTTCATGAAAAATATTTTTTTTCATCCAAATTCCTACTTTTGTATTGTTTAATTAATATATTTTTTTCATGGAAAATATTTTCTTACTTTTGATCACGTGATCATATTTTTCTTGAAAATAAAGAAAATATTTTCTTTTATTTTTCAGATAATTCACTTTTTCTCTCTCCCTCTCTCTCTGTCTCTAACCATATCTTTCTCGTCTACCTACCAATAAAAGACAGACATGTATAACATTTTAAGGTAGAAAATTAAACAATTAAACATATTTAGTTAATAATTTTCATACAAATAAGTTTTAGGTCATTCAATTGCCTAAAATTTATATTCTTCACATGTAATTTTCATTCCATGCTTGCAATCGAACGCAGGGACCTGAGGGAGAGAGCCAATAGGACACGAACCCAACTTGAGTCAGGAATCGAACCTGCGTTGTCGGACGATTTCTCCCCAAGTCACCTCGGGCTTTACCAACTCGCCTATGCCCCTGGGGGCAACATGACTCTAATCTTAATCCCATGGACTCTCGGTAGAGTTTTAGTCGGATAAGTATTGCCATGGTTTAGTTTATCACAATATATCTTAATGAGTATAAATTGAAAAAGATAAAGACAGACTCAAATAATAGCCAACAAGATTGGTCTTCTGTAGATTTAGAGAACAATGATTCGATTAAAAAAGACCGAAAAATGAATATATAAACCAAAATAAAATGTTTTTGAGATATTTTAACTGAATAAAAAAACCTAATAAATGTGTGCATATACATGACAATGACCTTTCATGCTTTTAATGAAATTCTCGGCTTGACTTAGGTTGTCAGTGTACACAATATAGAAAATAAACTAACAAAAAGTTAATTTATTGTTACTTTTTAAATAAAAAATTAGTGAGAAGAAAATGCTTTGTATGAATTAAAGAAATGCTATTTTATAATCGTTGATTTTCGTGCCAGTTTGTACGCACCTCGACTAATCCCACGGAACCTTTAAATTTACGGCCGGATACTCACTTCAGTGACCTTGAGGGACTCGAACTAATGACTATTGAGGAACAAACTCAAGGTCTGACGGCAACCCTCAAGGTCAACTTATTTTTTTATATTTGATAGGAGAGTTAGACTAGTCACTATTTAAAAAAAAAAAAACCCTTTGATAATTTAATTATAATTAGCTTCAATTTCTGTCTATTAACGTACCTTAAACTTAAAAGGAATGCATATAACATAAGGAAAATACTAATGAAAGAACAATGAAAATTGAGAACCAGTTAACATAAAAACATCTAAATTAGGGGAGGAGGGAAAAAAATTAAAATTAAAATGTCCAAACAAGTTAATAATACAGCAAAAAAAATTCATCACAATCTCAGCCAGAATTTTCATTAATCTGAAAGTGTTTTCATCATCATCACAACCTAAATTAAAATCTGAAAGTGTTTTCATCATCATCACAACCTAAATTAAAATCACCCAAAAAAACCCTAAAAAAGTGAAGAATCAAACATCTCATTGAGTAACCAGAAACCCAATACTAAATTCTGGTCCCGAGGATGGTTACAAGTGAAAATGGACCGACATTGTTAGTCCTAAAAGTTAAAATTACATTATCCTACCCTAGTCTTCTGCAGCAATGGAGTGAAGCCGTGGTAAGAAACTGATGAAGAATTTTTACAAGAAAAATGGTCAAAAGTTTCAATACCCACTTCAGAAAAAAGCTTCAAGAACTCGTCCAAACCTAGTCCACCAAATTTCTCCTCGTCATTTTCAAGAAATTTCAAGATTTCTCTGAAAAAACCGGCATCACATGGTAGAACCAGCCCACCGGTTGTGGGGAACCCAAATTCCTCCGCCGCCTCGCGCAGGATGTCAACGAAGACTGGCAAGTTCAGGAACCGGGTGGGGATCACGAACCGGCGGCGTTCTGGGCCCACGTAGACGGCTAATGAGCCGGAAGGGGTGCGGTTTGAACCGGCCGGTTCGTCGGAATCTGAGGAGGAGGAGTAGTGCGTCCACCGCTTAAGGCTGTTGTTTTTCCAGCGGCGGACGACTTGTCTTAGCCGTACGATCTGAGTGATGACGTTGCTTTTCTTGATGGCTGTGTCCATGATTTGGGTTTTGAAGGTGAGCTCTTTTCAATGTGTGAAGAGTCTCAGAGAGATTAGTGGCAACAAAAGTAAATGGAGACTGTTCTTTTCTTTCATGAAATATTCAATAGTGACCGACTAAATTAGCCATGGGACGCGATTTACCTAAAATAGCCCTTTGTATTTTTGCATTTCATCTGGTAAAAATTAGGGCGGTCTATGGACTGAATTTTGATTCGAATCCGATCCGATGAAATTAATGGGAGATGGATTTGTGGTCTCAATCCGATAACTCGATCAAGATTCGAATCCGATAATCCGTTAACTAAATGATTAAATATGAATATAGGTCAATTTGATCCGATAACAATCCGATCTGATTTGTTATAAATAATTGAGTCGATAAAATACTTTTATGATATGTTATTTGAGACTAAATAAAAAAATGAGAAAAGAAAAAAATGATAATAAACAAAAGTCATCAAATTCAAAATACAAAAAAGTTGAAAAATTTATAAATATTAAACCCATTTAAGAATCGAAAAAATTGGAAAAAGAAAAATAAAAATAATTTAATTTCAACATTATTATTTTTCATAATTTCTTTGATTTCAGATTGGATATCAGATAACATAGCAAAACGAATATTGATTTAATAATCAAATATCTGTTGGATTATCAGATCGGATCAGATAATTATTCTTATCGGATCAGATATAGACAGATCCGGTCCATATCCGATCCATTTACAGCCCTAGTCAAAATGTTATTTTTAATAAATTTTGATTAAAATTAATGATATAAATTATTAAATTGTTAATTTATTAAGAAAAAATAACTTTTAAAAAATGATGAAATAGAGGAATTTGGCTCCACTATAATGAGAATTTGGAAAAAAAAAAAAGTATTTTGAAATAGTAATTTTTTAGAGAATGTGTGGTTAAAAAAATTAAATTTACTTGTAATATTATTTTATTGAAAAATGCATGATTAATTTTAAGAGGGAAAAAATAAATTATAATTTTAATGGGCCATGGGCTAAAATTCTTTTGATAATTCTAATTTTTTGGTTATACTGCCATTGTTTGAGTCTCATTTTATCAAAAATTCATTTTTTCAAAATTCATTTTTAATCACACATTCTCTAATAAAATAATATTACACGTAAATAAAAAAATTCTTCATTTGTAACCCCGATTTCTTAAAAAATCGCGGTTCAAAACGTTGCAATTCTTGATTTGGTACAAATTTCAACAGTGCCCAAATTTTATTTTTTATTCAAAAAGTCTATGCGGAAAAATGTCTTACAAGAAAAATAGTAGTACGGGATGTACGAGGAATAGGTAAATAAAGTTGCGTGCACGTGATTAGTTAGTCAAAGTCAGCTGTAAATCAGGCCCTAATTTACACGCTGTCACATGCTTTAAGATATTACAAAGATCTTCAAAATATTATTTTAATTAATTTCAATATTTATTTGATTGCGTAATCCCAGTAATTACCTTAATCAAAGACCTAGCTTTGATTTTAGGGGTCATTTCTTCCATGTTGTTTGCTATGGAAACTGTAGAAAATTAATAATTTACTGTGGTCAAGTATGATTAATGATTAATTAAATCACTGTTGAGTCACATGGGTCATGGCTTAGACCTTGTTTGGAGAATTTTTTTTAAAAAAATGAAAAATGATTTTTTTTTTTTTTTTTTAAAGAACGTGTAGTTAAAAAGTTAAAAAATGTTTTTATTTTTTGGAAGAATATGTATGAATATTCACTTGTCATGATGTGTAAGTTAATTATATTAATAGTTTGTTTGGTAGAGATTAAAATTGAAAAATTAGCAGTTATTGTTAGTTTTTATTAGACGAGTGGAACCCAATAATGACTATATTTTCAATTTTAATTGGATTTTAATTTCTCCCAAACAATTTCTAATAATTTTTTAAACGAGTGTTTAAACTTTAAATGCAATTTCGTACTCTTTGTAATTCTCATTCCTATAACTCGATGTTCTTTTCTTCAACCGATGTTCATAAAATCAATTGAGTTAGAACCATAGTCATTACGAGCAAAAGTCGAAAAAATAGTGACAAAATGTAAATTTATACTAAAATGCGTATATTCGAGGAATTCTTTGTTATGTGATGGCCTTCCATTTATAAGAGATGACACTGGAATTGATTGTGCTATATATACACATCACAACTTACATATTTGTTTATTAACAGATGATGTGACGAAATATAATTGAATTAAAATTTTACCAACCTACTAAAAAAAATCATGTACTAAAATTACAGTTATTAGGAGACATGTTAGGGTAGTTAGGGGAGTCTAAATTTTCAATTTTGACCCCACTCTCTTTACATTGTTTGAGATAAGTCATAATAAGTCATAATATATCTCTATTACTCAATTTTGACCCCACTGTAATTTATAGTTTTATTATTCTTCTAGAATGACTACTTTTAAAATTACTTTTTAACTCACGAGTAAATCGGTAAATAGCCTCATTTTTGGGGCCAAAATACATTTTTGAATATTATTTTGTTTAAGAATGTGTGGTTTAAAAAAATGAAAAGTTTTGAATTTGTGGCTGTGTCGGCCGTCGGGGGGGATTAAATTGTCAAGAAAATTGATTTTCCTACCGTTAACTAATAAAGCTGGGCCCCACCTGTGACACAATAAGTCAACAATGGCTGCTTGTCTTCATTTTCAGCGATACAAAAAGTAATTTTTTGGGCTGAATTAAGTTCTCCCAGATAGCCTCTTGTGACACAATAAGTCAACAATGGCCGCTTGTCTTCATTTTCAGCGATACAAAAAGTAATTTTTTGGGCTGAATTAAGTGCTCCCAGATAGCCTCTGAGTGTAAAATTATTTTATGGGAGAATGTGTTGTTAAAAATAAGTTTGTAAAAAAATTGAAGATGAAACATAGACATATCTAGAAATCACATCAATGTTAAATAAACATTAATCCTTTTGACATACTCATTCTACTCAATTGCTATTTGAGAGATGGGAAATGGGATTTCGTGAGCGAAACCAAAACGTACAGCCTACCTGAGGAGGATATATTAATTTGAACTTTTAAATTTTTTTAGAGTATCTTTAATGCATTTTATGGATTGCAATCAAAACGATATTTAGGCCTTATTTGAAACTATATATTTTCCATGAAAAATGGAAAATATTTTTCATTTTCCTACTTTTTACTTGTTTGGTTGCAAAAATTTTACCTGGAATTCGTTTTCCAGCAATTACACTCACACGCCTCTTTTTCTTGCAATAAATGAATTTGTTTTCATTTTGTTTTGGTGGTTTTTTATTTTCCATTTTTTTTTTTGGGCAATTCGAAAAAATTCTAGATGCAATGGTAAAAAAAATTATCACGTTTATTGACAATTTTCATGCAAAATAAAGTCAAACGAATAATATTCGGTATGATAATTTTTTTTTTTTTTTTGACAATTTGAACAAATTATAGTTTTTTGACAATTTGAACAAATTATAGACCAAATGGTAAAAAAAAAAATCACTTTAATGGACAATTTGCATGTAAAACACAGCCAAATGGATACCAAACTTTCAACATTTTTCAGGTGGAAAATTATACCAATCAAACACAATTAATTACAATTCCCAACAAAACAAATTCAATGCAATTCAATTCCCTTTAATTCATTTTATTTCCACCCAAATTCCACCTTCGCAATCAAACAGACCCTTAAATAATTTTTTTTTCATCTATGTAGAATTAATATTTAATGAATAGATAACCTAGTTCCAATGAAATTTGTTTATAATTTAAATTTTATCTCTAATGTATATTTAATATGAGAGAGAAAAAAAGAGAAATATTGAATTATGATAACTCATTCGCTCTAGAAGAGCCTCTATATTTCGATTAATAATAATAAAAAATCGTTTGTAATATTAAAATATGTTCTATTTTTTTTAATTATTTTAGTAACAGACGGAAATTATATAGGTACACTTAATCTCTTAAGAATAAATTTCTAACAAAAATATGAGCGATGAAAAATACGAGTCCTTAGGTGACTACCGAAATGATATTATGTTTGAGCCGACTCCACACGTGTGTAAATTTTAGAAGGGGTTGCTAATAGCGGTATATGTCCGATTTTAAGCATTCTTTGAGCATAAATCCAACCGAACTAAGTGGGTTTGGGTCACCTTCTTATCTCATTAAAATGAAAAATATGACCGTTATCCATCACATCAATATTTAAATTTAAATTTTCTATCTCTTGTGTGGACCTCAATAACGACTATATTTTTCATTCTTATTCTACAAAACGTTGGCTCAAACAGGCCCTAACTATAATTTGGCCAAAATTCAACCACAATCTGTAACGACCCAATTTCTCGAAAACTCAAACTTTTACTAATTCAAAAGAATAAATACATATAGAGCCCAAAGAGATAAAATTAACATCCATTTATTCATTAATAAAAATAATTGTCTTTCAATGATAATATAAAATGAAAGAACATTTTATTCCCAACCATAAACCATATTCGAAATAAAAAAAAAAAAAAGGAAAAGATTCTCTTTTTAATTAAAATAAAATTTCTGCCATCATCGACCGAATTACTAGCTCCAAACTCACTATCTCAATTTCCTAAAAAGTGAAAAACTTAAAGGGGTGAGATTTAAGAAAATTTCAATAAGTGTGTGCAGTGAACAAGTAATTTGTATTTAAATAAAGGAAAAACACGAGATTTTCATAACATACGTAAAGAAGACACATGAACTACTCCAAACATATGTGGTAGTAATCCATGTGCATAGCGCTACTAAACTCCGGCCCTCTAATCATAAACATACATGGCCATAAACGTATTTCCAGAATTTAAAGCACAAAATACGAGTTCACGTAAACCACATGCAACATCACTTACCTTGTAAATCTCGAATGGAAATAATAAAATGCGTATGGAGTATTTGATTTATTCAAAACCAACCTATGAGTTTTCTGTGTGTGCAAGAAAAAAAG